TCTATCCCCATCTCCCAGCTTTAGTGGAGAATGTTTATCTCCATCTCCCAACTTTAATGGAGAACGTTTATCTCCATCTTCCAGCTTTAGTTGATAACTTCTATCTCCATCTCCCAGCTTTAGTTGATAACTTCTATCTCCATCTCCCAACTTTAGTGGAGAACGTTTATCTCCATCTCCCAACTTTAATGGAGAACGTTTATCTTCATCTCCCAACTTTAATGGAGAACGTTTATCTTCATCTCCCAGCTTTAGTTGATAACTTCTATCCCCATCTCCCAGCTTTAGTGGAGAATGTTTATCTCCATCTCCCAACTTTAATGGAGAACGTTTATCTCCATCTTCCCAGCTTTAGTTGATAACTTCTATCTCCATCTTCTAACTTGTTACTAACAGACATTGAGACTTGTAGCAACTCGTATGATACGATCACGTTTACTAAAAATCTATGCAGTATGTGATCCAGTCGTGTCTTTATCTGGTTTCCAGTCTACACGAGTTCTATCCGAAATGTAGGTAGCGTAGCAGTTTTGCTGTGGTGAATATCAAAAGTTTAACTTTTTTGAAACCAACGTACAATATAAATTACATAAGCTTACATATAATATGTTTAATTCATTTAATGTTTTCTATAGCTTGAAGCAAATTCAATGTTTCGAAAGATCTGTTTAGTGGAAGGACACAGGGCGATTCACTCACTGTACAGAGTGAAACTGGGACACCTCGAATAAATACCAGATCATCTTAACCATACCGTAGCTCCGCCTACATGTAATCTATAATATATTCTGTTTTTTATGTTTGTTTGTTGTTTTTTCTACAGTTACATTTCTTAGCCATAATTTCAAACAAAATAACCTAGTTTATAAACTATGGAACGGACCAAAGCACGTGGATACTGCTAATATTTCATTAACTAATATATATATGCTCCCTGATAGTTCATCGGTAAGTCCGAGGGCATATATATAGGGTTTCTATGCTTGCGGCGGGCATTGCGCGGATAGCCCATTGTGTGACTTTGTGCTTAACTACAAACAAACTAAACTAATAACGCTAAAAATCGGGTTTCTGTTTGTTTGAAGTTAAACACAAAGCAACACAATGAGCTATCTGTGCTCTGCTTACCACGAGTATCGAAACCCGGATTCTAGCGTTGTAAGTCCGCAGACATACCGCTGTGCCACTGGGGGGAAATCGGGTTTCTATACTAGCGGTGGGCACAGTACAGTTGCCCACTGCGTAGCTTTACGCTTAGCAACAAATAAAACTAATTTATGTAATGTATGAAGAACCGATAAAAGTACAGAGTCTCAAGCGCCCTGTGGTGCAACAACTCTGTCACTCTTGTGTTCATATTTATAATTACATAATCTATTTTGATAGCTCAGGTAAATGTCTTATTCTCTGCAGCGTTATAAGTATTGTAATTAGAAGAAAATCCAATAATATACATCCAAAATTTTGTGAACCACGAATAGTTAATCTGGCTCAAAATTATTGTTGAACTACTTATTTATAGATTTACTAGCCAAAATATTTTAAAAATACGTGAATCTAAGACGCTGGGATACTAGTCAATAAAGTCGTAAATTTGCATATTTTACCTGAATTTATCTAACAGGAATTAACAAGATTACATGTGGGGCAATAAACCACAGTTAACTTTGTTTAATACTGGTAGATGTAATGCTTAATATTAAACGTGAACTTAAACGTTAATTCTCAGAGAAATGAACCTGTTAGTTTCAAACAAGAATTAACATCAGTTATACAAATATCTACCTTATCGTCATACTTAAGTAACTGATTCATGGAGGGACTTTGAAGCGCTGCCTAAAGCATGATGAAAGACTGATATATTATCTGATAACAAGTAAGATATGAGCAAGCTATACGTACTTGTGAGATCACTGATGTGACTGAGTTGTAAAATCATTACTGCAGTTACTACCAAGGACCCCTGGGACAATGTAATTTTAATATCATTACTACAGTTATTACCAAGGACCCCTGGGACAATGTAATTTTAATATCATTACTACAGTTATTACCAAGAACCCCTGGAACAATGTATTTATAAAATCATTGCTACAGTTATTACCAAGGACCCCTGGAACAATGTATTTTTAATATCATTACTACAGTTACTACCAAGGACCCCTGGAACAATGTATTTATAAATCATTGCTACAGTTATTACCAAGGACCCCTGGAACAATGTATTTATAAAATCATTACTACAGTTACTACCAAGGACCCCTGGGACAATGTATTTTAATGCTTTTTGCTATTCCTGTGATCAGTGCAACTGTGGCAGCTCCAGCAGCTGGCCTCTCATGTCTTCTCCTTCAGGATATACCAAGATGCAAACACTGCCAAAGTAGTGGTGCCACGAAAAATACATTGTCTCAGGGGTGCTTGGTAGTAACTGTAGTAATGATATTATCTGATAAAGTATTGTTATTTTATCGAGGAAAGTAATATATATAGGTGCATGAGATATTAAGTTTTATATTTTATCAAATGAGTAAATTATAATTATTACTGCAGTTATTCAGACAGATGATAGATAGGTATTGTAGATTTTTATCTAAAAAACATTCTAAAACTCAATTAACTATTTACTTCCAGAACACAATTAGTCTTGTATCTTAATAGTTTTAATCTACATAAATCTTAACCATAGACGTGAATGTTAAACTAATTTTAGAAATATAGTCTAACTAAACGTATCCTACATTAATCTAGTTAGGGCTAACAAGACTTGCTTTGTATAATGATGCACGGAATACACGACACCATACAGCATAGTAAACACGTAAAAGAATTGTCTATAGCCTCAATTAACCTCAAAGTTAGGTTAGAGGCACCTGAGCATACACTTCTGATTTGCCTTACAAAGCATATATAAAGTGACCAAGTATTTGTTGTTTTGTTGTCATAGAAACAGCACAGTTTACAATCCAGTATATTGTAGTCGCGTTGTCATAGGAACATTACTTAGGGTTTTATGTTTTCAAGCATTCTGCAAGTAAACTGTGCAAGATCTTAGTTGAAACATAGATAGTTAAATGAAATATTATATATATAACTTTAATAATGGGTTTTTTAAAACAGAATTTCAATAGACTTACTTTTACTACATCAAAAATGCATTCGTTTCACTTTTAAAATGGCAAGCTTATTTACGTTACACCAAACAAAAATACGAAACCTGTACCTGGAGCATTACCGAAAGGTGGGGCTTTCTTCAACGGGGGGTAAACTACTAAATCAAAAAAATATTTGTTTCTCTCTACAAACTGAGAAAACGTTTAGACAGTTGAAACTTTTTTTTTTCTGCGGCATTAAACTAGCTTTATCTACCAGTAGGCCAACGGTAAACTTCGTTGTTCGATCCCTGTTGTGTAGGTTTGTACTAAAACAAACTTTTAATTTAAAGACTTTTTAAGTTATGCTAAAAAAACAGTATATGTAATTTTACTAAAATTTAGTTTTTGGGGTTATATCACCGTGGTAACTCATAAAAAAATGGCATTTGTTGTTATATATAAAACAACATTTGGAAATACATAAAACAGCATTGAAT